GCCCTGGAGGAGCTTCCAGTCTGGTGGGTGAGACAAACAAGGCAAGGAGGAGCCAGCTTTATAGAAGAGGCAACGGGCTCTGCGCCCTACCCGCAGCCACTCACCACGCCGGGGTTCAGGCCCCACCTCTGGGAAGGATGCTGGCCGCGGCTCCCTGGGGCCCGCCCTGCCTGTCTGAAGTTGTCACTGCGTCTTTGGAGCGAGGCACCCCACTTCAGTTCTGCTTTTAGTCAATAAATATTTAATTGAATTCTTCAACTGTTTCGTCAAAGATAGTTTCTGGAAATTTCATTGGTCTTCTATGGACACATTCTAATTTGTTATATTTGGCAATTGAGACGGAGCCGTCAGTAGCTCCACTTAGTTCCCATCTCCCAGGGACTCACGAGGCCCAGCCCCCCGCACGCAGAGCCGCGGGCCCCCCATTTCTCCTGCGCCGGCCTGAGTGTCATCGTGACCCCGGGCCAAGGGTCAGTGTCTGAGCCGCTGGGGCCCAACGCCCCTGGAGACGCAGCCTGCAGAGCGCTGAGGTGCCGGAGAGGGGCGGCAGCATCCCCCGAAGCCAGGGGCACCCTCGGGCTTGCCGTGGTGGCAGGATGGGTCCGCTGCTGGGCGGGGCTGGTGTGGGGCACAACTCCCGGGGTGCGCTGTGAGGTGTCGGCTGCGGTGCTGGCTCACAGAAGAGGCAACGGGCTCTGCGCCCTACCCGCAGCCACTCACCACTCATGGAGCAAAATGGAATCCCCAGAGCAAGGCCCTGATGGTGTGGGGACAGGTGAGAGGGGTCAGATGATGCTTTCTGGAAAGGGCGAGGCATCATCTTTAAGGATGAGGAAGGGTGTTCAGGTAGGGAATCGGGCTGTTTTGGAAACGAACGTTGTTTTTGGATTTGTTGTTTGTGCCTGTGTGCATGTGTGTATTGGGGGGTGGGTATTTGGCAGGTGGATTAGCATGACCAACTTTCTCACTTTGCTTGAGACTGAGGGGTTTCCTGGGACTTTCAGTGCTATGAGAGGGTAAGTTGATTACTCTAGGGTAGGTGCAGCCTGTATGCCCATAAGTGATGCAGGGAAAAGGTTGTAAGGTAGACTTGGGGGGTAGGATATGAGGGAGGACTTTGACCAATGACCTGACTTGGCTGATGGCCTCATGCCATCATGGTTTCTATATCCCATGACAACCTCGTGAAAATAAACACCCACAATAAGCCAGGCTAGAACACGTGTCCTCAATTTACCTGCACATCCTACTACTGGGGGTTTTACCACAAAGAATTATCTCTTTATACATGGGAATGTATATTTGCACATTTATCATGTGCAAATATAAGGTTGGTGTGCAGACATTTGTGAGAGGTGCCACCTGGTATCACTTTTTCTGGAACCCTCTGTTCCACTGCAATAACAGTATTCAGAAGAGTCAAGTAAAATCAAGTTTGGCACGAGGACAATGGGTCAGAGGGTTGTGAGGTAGGAGAATTTTATTCCCTGCTGTGGCTTCTGGCTTAAACTGGATGCAATTAAACTCAGGCGATTAAAACTGTTGACCATCCTGTGGATGTAGCTTCTTGATGATTGAAGTGGAAAGGGTGGGTGGTCTAATTCCTCTTCCCAAAGGCTCAGACCCAAGCTCAGGTCACCTCGGTGATATATAACCAGTGACCAGGTCAGGGCCTGGGCCCTCTCTGTGCAACTCAGCAGAACACTCTGCCTCAGAGATTTGGGGAGCTATTGAGGCGTCTCCAAGCAAATTATGAAGACACAACTGGGAGTCTTGTAATTCTCTCTAGACAGAAGCCCCAACCTCATTGTCCTTCCTGTTAATGGGGTCTTTGTGTCGGTTTCTGCAGCCTGGGTCTAGGGGCTGAGATTTGTTTGGTCTCCATTGGACTTGAAGGCTAATTGGTCACGTCCTACTTTTCAACTAGGCAAACTTTGTCCCCTGACCCTCCCACCCCCGCCTATGCGTCCCTCCAAAATTCTATGTTGAAGTCCTAATCTCAAAAGCTCAGAATGTGATCTTATTTGGGAAATGGTTCTTTTTAGAGGTAATCAAGTTAAAATGAGAACATTAAGTTGGGCTTTAATCGAATTGGACTAGTATCTTTATAAAAAAAGGGAAATTTGCACGCGGCCGTGACATACACACACACCAGAGAATGCTCTGTGAGGAGGGACGTGGACATCAAAGGGACTCATTCCAAAGCCGGGAATGCCAAGGATTGCCAGAAACCAGGAGAAAGGCTGGGAATGAATTCTCCCTCACAGTCCTCTGGAGCAGCCATCCCCACGACACCTTGATCTTGGACGGCCGCCCTCCAGAATGGGAGACAACACACTTCCATTGTTGAAGCCACCCGGGCTGTGAACTTTTTATGAGGACATAGTCATATTGGATTAGGGCCCAGCCTGATGTCCTCAGTTTAGCATGATTACCTCAGCAAAAACCCAAATAAGTTTACATGCTGCGGTCCTGGTATAGGGGTGGGACATCAACATGGAACTTTGACCGAGAAGGCGATGAGGGGTGGGACACAGCCCAACCCATGACAGTTGCCTGGTCAATCATCTTTTCATGCCACCTGCACTCTCTGCATCCCCGAGAGATGGGCTCCATGGAGTCTGAGTTTCGTCTCTTTTGACTCCTTTGAGAATGTGACACGCTGACTGCTTGGGCCTCTCTACAAGCACTTTTCATTTCCTCTCTCCCTGGATATCGAGGCCTGGCCTTGAGCTGGGGGAGAGGGGGGCATCACCCGACACCCTGTCCTGGCCCTGCCTTCTGCCCCAGGTTCTTGGCAGGACACAGGAAGTCCCAACCAGTCCCCAGCTCTCTTCAAAGCATTTTTCTCCAAACTTTGATTTTTATTGGTTTGTGTCTTAAATGCTTTGTCTGTAATTACACAGTTTGCTGCGTGTCTCATTTCATAATGACTAATATGAAGTACATGTACCAGCAAAGGGAAGCACATAACTAAATGGACATTTAATAATTAGCATTCATTAAGGCAATTATTTTAATAAATTAGACTCAGTTAAATATAACCATTTCACTCTGATTTCAAAACAAAACAAAAACAGTACCTGCCCTGGCTAATATTGAAGCAAGAGAAGAAAGCAGAGGGAGCAGAAGTGAGGACTCGAAGGCCCAGCCAGAAGCAGGAAGGGTCTGGAGAGAGATGCAGACAGGAGTTCGGAGTCTGGAGAGTGTAGCTTCTTGATGTTGAGCATCAATAACAAGCGCGAACATTCATACGGGGCTCACGGAATGCCAAGCCCTTTGCTTGTGTTATCTAATTTCATCCTTGTACCAACCAAGTCAATGAGGTGGAGCCTTTTACGATTGTTGCCATTCTACAGATGAGGAATCTGTGGTTAGCCTATGCTCACACAACTGGAAAGGAAGTCATGGAGCCAACACTGTAGCTTAGGCCACCTCCCTCTTGAACTTGCCCTCACAATCACTTGACTCAAAAGTCCTCACATGATACATGTTGGAAAATGAGAACAAGCCAGCTCCTAAGGAGGGTGGACAATGGGCAGTCATGCATGTGAAATGTGTGGCTTGGGTAGGGTAGAACTTAGGGTAGTGATTAAAAATCTAAACTTCTAAGGAAAACACCAGGACTTGAATTCCAGGGCCACAGATAATTGGTTGGGACTTAGTTTCCTCTGATGCAAGAGGCAGCAATAATGGCACCATCCTCATAGTGTGGCTCAGAAGAAAGAGAGAGCCATTGCTAAGCTGGGAAAGAAGGTCTCAGGGGACTACCAAATCAACATCATTGTCTAGTCCTTGTGACAGACGCATGAGATGACAGCACCACACTGAGGTCTGTCCATGGCAAACACTGAGACCTGTGGCATCTATCACCTCTGTTTCTCCCTCCAGCAAGTTGTGGTCTCTTGGTGCTCAGAGAAATGCACTTTGAAAATTTCCCAAGAGAACATAGGCCTCTAGGATCCCTACCATGAGGGAGAGACTCATTCTAATTTCCTGGTCTGGTTCCTTCTGGAACATGGTATAGGAGACATGTCACAAAATAATCAGAACTGTGCTTCCTCCCAACCACCCAAATTGACCCAATCTTTTTTTTTTTTTTTTTAAAGATTTATTTAGGGCCTCCCCTGGTGGCACAGTGGTTGAGCGCTGGGCTGTGAAGCTGCCCGCAGCCTCTGCAGCGCCGGTTCGATCCCCGGCCGCCAGGCGAGAGTCCCACATGGCACACAGACCTCTCCTGCCGCCCGCTGCTCCCCTCAATAATGTACTTCGTCAGTCTGCCTGCTCTGCTCTCCCCTCTGGCTCTGGTGAATTCTCTCACCCTCCTGCGCTTCTGACTGTACCCAGTGCTTGCATAAATAAATAAATAAATAAATAAATAAATAAATAAATAAATAAATAAATAAATAAATAAATAAATCTTTAAAAAAAAGGATTTATTTATACAAGAACTGGGGTACAGGACAGATGTGCGGGAGGGTGAGAGGATTCACCAGAGACAGAGTAGGGAACAGAACAGGCAGACTGATGAAATACACTGCTGAGGGGAGCAGCAGGCGAGACAGGAGAGGTCTGCTGCACCATGTGGGATTCTCTCCATCCGGCGGGGATAGAAACCACGCTGTAGAGGCTGTGGACAGCTTCACAGTGTGGTGCTCAACCACTTGCGCCATCAGGGAGGCCCCCAAATTAACCCAATCTTAATGGTCCAAGTCCCTGGACCCCCACTGAGTTCCCAGCTGTGTTAAGGCATAGAGGGCCATTCACAGGTATGTGATCCATGCATTTACACAGACCCCCAGGTTTAAGTGCCCTGCACTTGATTTGATATTCCGAAGTCACTTCCATGAAATTTTAACAATATTTGAACATAAACCCTATTTTTTCATTTTGCTCTGAGTCTGCAAATTATGTAAGCTCTATTAGTACAGGTTTTGATGGTGTAACAAAGAGATCCAGACATACAATGACTTAAACAAGATAAAAGTTTACTTCTCTCTTTCACAGCAGTCCAGAGGCAGCAGTCCAGAGGCAGGATGGCTTTTCCATCTTCAGTGTGTGTCTTCCATCTTTAGTTCCAAAATGACTGTCCCCTTCTCACCACCTGTTAGTCACTGGGAAGGAGAAAGATGCCAGGGAAACACACAGTGTTTTAAAGGGCAAGGCCTGGACATGATACCTCTCACTCCCATTCTCATCCCACTGGCCTGAGCAAGATCACTCAGCTATACTTTGCCACCAGGGAAGCTGGAATAGATACTCATTCATTGGGGAGCTTTGTGCTGAGATAAAACTCTATAATAAAGCAGATTTTGGCAAGTCACCAGATCTTCCTTAGGCTCCAATGTCCTCAGAATGATGTTCTCATGTTGTTCTTAGCTGTTCCTATCTCTGAAATTTCTAGAGAGAGACAATGTACATTCAGGGAGCCCCTAAAGATAAAGAAGGTCCACAGCTATAAATTCCCTGGGGTGTCTTGCAAAATTGCATGCACATTTGCATTTTCCTCTGGAAAAGTTATATGGGGTTCTCAATAGATTTAGTGGCTTCCTCCCTCTCCTCAGCCTTCATCCCCCACCAAAGTGTAAGAACTGTTAGTATAAAGACCTTGTGTTGAGGTGTGTTTCAGGCAAACATGAGGAGTATCCTGAAGCTAAATTAGATAGGGTTGCTTGTTAGACATAGGGCTAACTAAGGCAGGGGCAAGCAAACTATGATAAGTCACCTGATTTCTTTTTTCAAATAACATTGTATTGGAGCACAGCCATGTCCATGTTTACATGGTCCAACAGAAGAGTTAAGTAGTGACAACAGCAGCCTGCAGAGCCTAAAATATTTACTCTCAGGCCCTTTGCAGAAAAATTTGCCAGCTCCTGAATTATATATAGCTACCTAGGGGCGGATGGACCGCTTCTGCTCTGTATGGCTATTTTTATTTTACATATGAGGAAACTGAGACCTGCCAAAACTCACACAGCTGGAAAGTATGTCATGGAGCCCCAGGTGGAGCCTTAGCAGTACCCTTCCAGAACCAGCCCTTACAACCTCTTCACTTTGAAGTCCTCACATTACAGGGGTTCCAAAATGGGAGGAACTCTCCCATGTGGGATCTGATAATTGAAAGTTCTATGTTCAGAGTTAAATCAGGTGGGATTCAGAAAGTCCCCAGATGATGATGGTGTTGGTAATGACAGCTAGAAGTTTTATATAATATGCTCGCATCCACCTAGAACATCAAGAGACATGTAAGAGTAACAGCTATGTCTTGGGAATTCAGTCTGACATGAACTTGAGTCCTACTTCAATTACTCCCTAGCTTGCAGATATTCTTTGTTTTGAATCTGTCTCCTAGCCTTTGAAAGGTGGCTATGAATTCCAGCTATGTGAGGTTACAGGTGAAAGATGGCAGCACAGAGGGTCTGGCACAGTCAATGTCAGTGCCCAATGGGGAACCTCTGGTTGCCATACTGGAAGTGGTACCTAAGCAGTCAATTGAAGCTTTCAGGATTTTCTACTTGGACCTTATTTTCATCCAGGGGTGTATGTCAAGAGAGCTGAACCTCACCCAGATGTGCCATCAATTCACATCTGTGTGGCCTAAGACAAGTGACTGAACCCTCCTGGGCTTGTTATCTCCTTGGTGTCGTGAGGGAGTTGATGAACTGGTTCCTAACACTGAAATATTCTGAGATTCCCGCTCTGTGATCATAGGTACAGCTTCCTCTGAACTCACTCCAAGTTTTCATCATAAACTGGGCAGAATACCTCCTGCTGCCTGGAAAGGGTCTGGCCAGAACCATATTCAGAAGACTCATTACGCCATAGGTCCCTGGGCCCTGTTCCTATTCGTGATCCCAGCAATGGAGCCAACCCTCTGACTCATGGAGTTGCACTGCCCAGACATTAAGGGATTTGAAATTAGAGGATAAGACACAAGTGTGGTTTAATAGGATGAAAGAATAATGTGGCCTTGTTAGTAATACAGTAAAACTAAGCTGTCCTAATGCTTAGGGTGCACTGGCTAATTGGACATCCTAAGTATCTGAGAGCTAAGCATAGTTCTAAGAACACAGACACTCTGTCAAACTGATTGAAATTCATTTCCTCTTCTGGCACTAACAAGATGTGGGAGGTTGGTCTTCCCTGATCTTCAGTCTTTCTCTAAAGTACAAGGGAGTGGGTAGAGTACCTAAAAGTGTCATTGAAAAAAAATTAATTAAAGGGATTTAGAAGTTGCAAGAACAGAGTAATCCAGAAGGTTCACAGTATCTTGCACATCTCAATCAGTGTTTTCATTATACCCTAGGCAAAAACAAACAAAAGCTAACAGTTCTATTTAATAAGAAGCTAGCTCAGAACAATTTAATAAATACCAATATCTTAACAACTTTATGGTTGTTTAGGAAAAAAAATAGTATACATAAAGCAAGCAAACAAAAATACAATTTTTTCATTTCATTCTTAAATAGTCACAATTATTTATGAATGGGACTTACCTTCTCAGGTACCACACAACTTCTCAGACCCTGGAAAATAGGTGGGGCACTACTAGCCTCATTGCCTAGTCTGCAGTGATTTTCATGCTGTGCTTGCCTTTTATTAGAGCAATTTCTGAAAACTAAAACGCGTGTCTAACGGAACACAGCAAAATCTAAGTCTGAAAAAATCAGGAAGGACCTTGAGGCATTAGTTTGCATGATGTCTTACAGATATCAAATATCATTTCCCTGGAAATTTCCAACAGCCTGGAATAGACTTTGGGTTTGCTGCAGTGTCCTGGAGAGTCTGGGGGCGAGTTAAGGACCTGGGGAAGTAAGCAATGAGAAAATGCTTGCCCCTCCCCCCACCATTTCCTTGTCCTCTGTCTCTCCCTCTCTTCTTCCTATTCTTTCCTCCTCTCCTAACCTCTTTCTTGTTTTTGCTTCTAGTATCTACCAAATTTTAGAGGAAACATCAGATTCATCTTATATCCTCAACCTCTAACACAGGTTGGTGCAAAGAGGAGGTATTCTATTTGAAATGAATGAAAACCATTTTGTTATCCACTCTTAATGAATGCCATTCTCAATGTCCTATTCCCCTCCCTGAACCAACACCATCTAGGAAGATCAATTCAAATGTCTAATTTATTAGCAGAAAATTTAACTTGCAAAATTGGCCATATGCATCCTAGCTATGAGGATGTTACACCTGTGTTTAAGTTGAAATTAAATGGGCTCCAATTACTAACACTTTAAAATAAATCACTGTTTTCTTGATGGGGGAGTCTACCTGCCTCACTCTCTCTCACCTGGGGTGCTTGTCTAAAAGACAGGTGCATGGCACCAGCTCAGTGCAACTGACTTTGTTCTAATATTTCTTTAAACAATTGCTCGGGTTATTCTTATGGCCACTACTTTTGACATTCACTGACATTTAATTAGGAGAATTAATATTAATGTGTTGTACAATAACTCAGATGCCACGCAATGTCAAGTTCAACACAGGCCCTGAAGGGCCCTATTTTCTGAGCACATGCTTTAGGATGGTGCTTTCTGATGGCAGAAACTGTTGCTTAGATCATCTGGGGGTTGAAGGTTTTCCCCAAATATTCTTGGTATTGCCAAGAGAGATTTTGAAACTAATCAATGGGAGCTTTTTCCAAAAGACTCCCAGAGGGTTAAGTCCCCACCTTCCTCACCCAAATTTACAGACTCTCCCAAGTCCTGGTTAAGGTTTTACTGAGCTGGGCTCCATGCCTGAGTTTGCAGACACTTGTTCTTCTTATGCCTCATTCTCTTTTTCCTTAAAGTTGGCATAGACATTAAGTGTATTTGTAAATTGCCCTTCATGATCATTACAACATAAATACTTCCTACTATCCCTTACATCAGGAAACCTTTGAAAAGCCTACAGGAGAATAATGTGGTGTCTATTTCTGCTTTTGACTGAAGGAAGGGAATTTTCACGAACCCTTAAGAGACTTGTGGTGACTTACTCTTCAGTCCAATTCTGACACTATTCTTACTTTCTTCATTCCGAGAGAACTTGATATTCTTCCTAACTAGCCTTGCCCAAGATTCCTGAGACTGCCCCATTGACCTGATTCTGGCCTGGTTGTGTCCCAAACTACTCTATGCCAGGAATGCAAATGAACTGTTCAAAATAAGTTACCAATGTCACATAAAACCTGAAGTTTTTTTTTTTTAATATTCAAGAGTTTTTGACAAAATCAAATGAGACAGTGAATCTCAAACTATTAGACAAATTAAGTATTATCTGTCTAATATACCTCCCAAACAACTCTCAAAAGCATATTCTCTACTGGATTCTTAAGAACTCTCCTTAGTTCAGGTCTTCTGATTTTCCTTCAGTACCATTACAATCTCCCCCCATATAACAGAGAATGGCAAACTGAGCCTTTTTCTACTCTGCCAGAAAAAGCCTTCTTAAAAGTAAATCTGATCGCATTACCTTTCAAAAAAAACCTCCCTCATGTTCCTAGTTGTCACCAAGGAAATATCCCAACAGTGCAAACTGGCATTCTGGCCCCTCCTGCGGGGACCAGCCTCCCCAGTCTTCATGTCTTTCTTCTGACTTCTTGCAGTGAAAAGCTGTTATATTCCACTCTGTTCCCAACATACACCAGATTCCCTGGGTCTCCATTCCCAGGGCATGGAGGGTTGTACCTTTTTTCACCTTCTTCCAATCCTGCTCCCCTTTTTCCACACCCCAGCCTCTGTAATCACCAATCAGATCTTCTTTCCTATGGATTTTGTTTTGGGGGCTTTATTTTTATATTCCAAATACAAGTGTTTACCAAACATCTGCCCTCCTCTCCCCTCCCACTGGCCCCCTCCTACCTGAGCTACTTGCTAGGGAACCTCCCACTCCCAAGTTCTGCTCTACTTTCACTTGTTGCTGATGAGAGTAACCTGTGAATATACCTACTTGAAAAGGCAATTGGGAAATATTTCTCAAAATTATCCTTGCATTTTTTTAAAGATTTATTTATTTATACAAGAACTGGGGTACAGGCCAAAGGTGTGGGAACGTGAGAGATTTCACCAGAGATAGAGCGGGGAGCAGAACAGGCAGACTGATGAAATACACTGCTGAGGGGAGCAGCGGGCGA